GCTCCAGGTCCCACTATCTTCACAAAACAGCCTGGCAGTTGGAGACAATGTGATAGCTAGTATTAGTCACTCATTCCCTTCCTGAGCAATCATTTATATAAAAGGGGCTGGTAACATGTGAAACAATGTATAAAACATGCTCTATCCTCAGGTAGCTGATTCTATAGTCCAAAGCAGCATGGGATAAGTCCCAGCAGGGGTATAAAGTGTTAAAGGAGGTCAGGAGGGAGATTTGACTGCAGGTGGGTGAAGGTGGCTTCAGGAAAGAGGTAGCCCTTGAACAGAAGTAGGCTCTTCTTTTATCTGCCAAAGAGCAAGGATTTTAAAAATATAATTGCACAAGTATGCACCTATGTGACTGACATAAATATAAAAAGTTATCACGTTACAAAAGGGAGGGAATGTGAATATCAGCATTTTGTCAAGGAATGGGAGCAGTTTCTGGCTTCTAGATCCCAGTAAAGTATCACCATGTAGCCATGCAGAGGAAGATTTAATTGTTTTATGACACTCTAAAACCAATTTCATATAGTAATATTGTGTACTAAAAGATATCATTTCCCAATTATTTAACCAAATGCCTTGATATTATGTTACGTTTGGGGCTGCACAAAATCAGTATGTTAAAAAAAATTATTTTCATATGCTCTATTTCTTATACTATATACCTAGAACTGTTCTAATCAGTGAGACCAACATGATGACGTTTTGAAAGCTTAATACCATGCAGAAGTGAAACATTTCACAGCCGGAGTGTGTCCCAGTATTCAGAATGTTTTCTTATTTTCAGATCAATGTTCAAAAAAAGGCTCACTGAACCTCTGTATATATTTAAAAACACTATAAGAAGAGCTTTTTCTCCTTATGTGGAAATGATGATGACAATAGTAATATTAAGCCTTACTAAGAGCATTAAGTACCAGACACTGTTGCAAGTATTTTACATAGATTAATTTAATGCCCTCAATAACCATTATTATCCTCATTTTACTGAAAAACAGAGGCATAGAGAGGTTAAGAAATCTTCCCAAGGGTGACAGCAGCTGAAGTGTTGCTTTCTCCTCTCTTTTGGTAACAAAATCCTCATTTTAAACATAAGAGGACACATTTTTTTAAAAAGCCGTTACGTGTCTCCAAACCCTTTCTGAGTAGAGCGTGAACAAGTTGTGAGAGACCTTTCCGAACACAGGAACACGTCGTGGATGGAAATAGCTACGTTTTCCATGTGTATGACCTTTGACCTGGCAACAAAAATCGTACACCTATGGATGAGGGCAGTGGAGGGGTAAGGGCAGAGGGTGGGGTGGGAACTGGGTGGAAGGGAGCTATGGGGGGGGGGAGGGGACAACTGTAATAATCTGAACAATAAAGATTTATTAAAAAATAAAAAAAAAAGAAATCTTCCCAAGATAACACAGTTAAGTTGTGGGGCCAGGATGGGAACCCAGACCATCCACCCAGTTGCACTGCAGGGGTCTCTTCCTTCCGTGCCCTAATGAAACTTCCTTCCTGAGCTACTGCTGCCATCAAACAAGGCCTGTTCTTTGAGATCAGTGGAGCTGATACCATCAGTCCAGGGCTATGAGCATTACATAGTGTATAGCATATCTACATTAATAAAAGAGAACTATGGTAATTGGCGTACGACCGCTACCCTTTTCATTGGCTAATCAGGACGATATGCAAATTAACTGCCAACTAAGATGGCAGTTAACTGCCAACAAAGATGGTGGTTAATTTGCATATGTAGGCACAATGCAGGGAGGCGAAAGGGAACACAGGAAGACGCCCCCTGCCACTGACAGTGATCGGAAACCCAGGGGGGAGCTAAGAGCCCCCAGGGCCGCCTTTGCCCTGCCCCCCAGCCATGATCAGAGAATCGGGCACCTTTGCCGCCCTGGCCAGTGATAGCAGGAAGTAGGAGTGGAGCCAGTGATGGGAGCTGGGCATGGTCGAAGCTGGCAGTCCCGGGAGCTAGGGGTCCCTTGCTGGGGCCTAAAGTGGAGCCCGCAATCCCGGGGCCGCTGCTGCTGCGGGTCGCTGCTGCCCAGGCTGGACGCCTCAGCCAGAGGCGTTAGGCCAGGGCAGGGGCAGAGCGGGAGATCGCGGGAAGCTGGTGGTCCCCGGTGCCCAGGCTTAATGCCTCGGCCAGAGGCGTTAGGCCTGGGCAGGGGCAGAGCCTGCAACCGCGGGGAGCTGGGGGTTCCCTGCCCAGACCTGACACCTCTGCCGGAGGCCTCAGGCCTGGGCAAGGGGCCAATCCGGTGATCGGTGATCGGATGGGGATGAGGGTCAACTCCTCTGGCCGAGGCATCAGGCCTGGGCGGGGGGCGAAGCCAGCAATCGGAGGGGGCTGGGAGTGCCCTGCCCAGGCCTGATGCCTCTGGCAGAGGTAATCGGCAATCGGATGGTGATGACGCCTCTGGCAGAGGCGTCAGGTCTGGGCAAGGGGCCGATCCTGCGATTGGAGGGTGATGGGGGTCAACGCCTGAGGGCTCCCAGTATGTGAAAGGGGGCAGGCTGGGCTGAGGGACACTCCCGCCCCCCCCCACCCAGTGCACGAATTTCGTGCACCAGGCCCCTAGTATTTAAATAATTATGAAGCCCATCCAAGAATATGGTTCTATGGATACAATACATGATCAAGGACATGATCTAATATTAACTATTCCATCTATACTAATAACATCCTATGTGGTCATCACACCCTTATGCCGTGATGCCCTCACGCTGTAACAATCCATCACCAGGAGGCTGCGTGTGTGGGCGGGGACTTGACGCTGCATGTGCAGCGTGGAGCGGGTACGGGGCTCTGCGCGGTGCAGAGGTGGGACCTCCCAGCTCCAGCCTACCTCTTTGGGGAGATAGATCGCAGCGCTCCTGCACTGTGAGAGGGCACAGGCCAAGCTGCCCCCACCCCCATGCACAAATTTCATACACCGGACCTCTAGTTTAAGTACAACAAGACTGAGAATGTCACATTCTGACTAACAGACTAATAAAATCAAATATATAAGATGAATAGTAATTAGGTTTCTTATTTCTAGCTAACTCTGTCTCATTGGGCAGATGATAGGGAGTGACATATTTTAGGAAATTCCTAAGAAGTTTTTATGCCAACTACAGAGAGTATCAGAGTATCTTGCCTGGTGCCACAAAAATCCTATGTGAGCTAAAGTTAGTTATTTAAAGTTGGACGAGTATCTTGGAATAAGAGATAGATACTGTGTCTTGGGTTGAATGACTGAAATACTAACTGGCTTTAAAATGATTGAAATACTGACAAAGCAACTTTAAAAGAAATTAAGAATAAAAACTGTAAAAGCATACTAATGAAGTCAAAATTTTAGAACAGGAATGAAAGCCAAGAGTAGAATACAGTGGGGCCTTGACTTACGAGTTTAATTCATTCCGAGACCGAGCTCGTTAACTCAAATTACTCTATCAACTCAATGCAAAAAATCGGCCGAGAGACAGCTGGTATCTCAAAAAGCTCCTTAGTCGGGACACTCGTAAGTCAAGGCCCCACTGTATATCCTCCTACTAACAAAATAATACAGGTGATATAATGTAATTCTCCTAATAAACAACAAATATCTGGTTTTGGGGGTTTGGTGTGGTGGTTTTTGTTTTGTTTTTTAGCTATCTTGGAAAAATGGAACCCTTCTGGCTATCTCCCAGACAATATCCATTCAGAACACTTTATTGCCAAAAGATAAAACTTTTAAGGCATCTGAAGGCATCATGGAACTACAGGGCCAAATTGATGATAGGTTTCCAGTCGTCCTCAACATGCAGGGTATCTGGTCTCAAGATACAAACACAAAGTCCTGTTGCTATGTTTACTGAAAACAGTTTCTAGTTTTAAGTCAGTTCTGGGCCTTTTGATAAATTTACCGTCATATTTCACAAGAACCCAGTATACTTTAAGAGCCTCAAATAAATCAGAGTCTTTTCATTTTACAGCTCCTTGGGTCAAATCTTGACAACCATGAAGTACTATAAAAAAAATAAAAATTAAAAAAATAAAGAGTCCCTTTTCCCTCCCTAAAGGTGAGAGGAACTTAGATAATGTATGGTTTGGTGAAAAACAAAAACAGTACCAACTACAATTTTCTTGTCTTCTCAAATTCTTACGTTGTGGGATGTATAAAAAATAATTTCAGGGAGGAATGGTAAATATTTTGACATCTTGATATTAGAATAAGTTGTGAAATCATTTTTCTTGAAAACACAGCTCTAATGACAGACATATGTCATAGTTCTGGAGTATCATTCATAACACACACCTACTTTACAGCAAATAGTAAATAAATGAGGTACTAAAAAAATTCTTTACTATGTGTATTCATTAGTCATTTGAACTGCCAATATTGATTTTTAAAAGAATATTCCAGCAAATATACATTTATATTTATATCTCTTGAGAAAAATATGACCCAGGGGGTTAATCGTAAGATTTTTAAGTTTTTAGTTAGATTATATCCAGCACAATAACTCTCACAAACGGCGTATATTTTTGTTCTGTTTTGGAGGGAGGGACAGAAGTCTATCTATAGCTTTAATATTACATTCACTTTATTAAACTTTTAAAGCATAAAAAGTTAAATTTAGGAAGTCCAATCTCTAAGCATAACAGATAAGTTCTAATTTAAAAGGCTACTTGGGTTTGAAAGATAAATAGTATTAAGGACCTTAAGAAAAACGACATAAATATGACATTAAAGCAAACTGGCACAGTTTGACAAGTATTAGAACACTCGCTCACAAAATGAATATACTTTGATTCAGACAAACACAACAAATATATAGCCTTTATCCAAAAATCACAGAAACAGCCCTAGGTAATACCCATGTTAAAGGTTCAACACTACAGGCCAAAGGTTGCCAGAGTCCTGGCAGAGAAGTTAACAATATGACTACGCTTGACGAAGCTTTGCGCGCATGCACACACTCTGCAATGGGAGACAGACACCGATCACCATCAATATTGTCCTTACTTGCAGACGCACAAGTATCCTGCATGTTCCGATTCTGACTGGCACCTGGAGCAGCTCTACATGCCAGTCATCCCAATGTACTCAGGGATGTAAACACCTTATAATTAGAAAACGTGAAGGCGTCAAGGACGTTAGACAAATTTAAAACACATCCAAAGATTAATTTTTAAAGGCATTGAAGAAATCATTAATTGCAAATTCCAATAAGAGGATGTACCTGCTCCTTCACAGAAGCTAGAATAGTGGTGGCTGTGGTCTCGGGTTCCATGCCTGGGCCAGTGCAGGCAGTTTCCTGGCGGATCTGTGGTTGCCCCTCCTCCACCAGTGAGGCCTGCTCAGGAGCTGGCATTCCTCCTGCAATCAAGCAGGCAAAGAGTTAACACTTTCTCTAGGGCTCCTCTGAGGATCTGCAGATGGTCCCTAGGAAGTACCACAGACTTCTACACACAATGATCACAATACCCTCAGACTATTTGATTTTTAGAAGGCAACATCTAGGGCCAAAGGTATGAGTATTACCAAATATTAAAAAATAAATTTAAGTGTAATGATAATAAATACTAAGAAAATGTTTAAACATCATAGTAAAAAAAGTGACATGAAAAGGGTTGGGAATGCTCTTAAATTAAAAATATACTAAGGACAATAAAGTTGTTAGGAGCTTGTTAAATTGGCGAGCCTTATAATCAGATAACCCATAAGTAAATATGATTCTTATGAAACAAATAACAATAAACATTCTATATTTTCTATAAGAGCGTTTTCAGAAAAGTATACACACAAGAAGACAGCTACAAATGTGCAAATGCTGTACCACTTACAGAAGAGGCTTAGGCAACAGATAAAAAGGTTACAAAACTTAAGGAAGGCTTGAACATAAACAAAAGTCTGCTATACTCAAAAGAAATGCAAGGCATTAATAACTAGTAACAATATCTTTGGTAGAATATTACAGTTAGTTTGGTTTCCTTAGAAGAATCAGATTAGTCAAAGATGACAATGGCTATAGGGGGCTGTTGACAAGAGAAACCATTTGTCAGGCCCACAGCTCAGGACAGCAGACTGGGTTCTGGGCAGAACACAAGTGCCTCTCCTAGGATTACATGCACACAGAGTGATATGCTTGCCAGAGACTAACTTGATGCAGACTTTTTACAAGTTTAAAAAAGATTAGGAAAAGATACCCACCTAACATAATGCAAATATTTTAATAACCTGTTTAACATGTCAGTCTCTCTGACCATCAGCCTGAGAGCACATCTATCTACCATACTGTGAAACTAGCCTAGCATACACAATAGGTGCTCAATTATTGTTTGCTGAGTAAATGTGAATGTGAATGAAGGACGACCATCATTTCCATGTCTGATTCTAGGCACTAGGCAATTCTAACCAAGTGCTATGATGCTCATGAGTCCTTATTTGTTCACTGTTTTATTCTGTATACTCATATACAGATATCTAAGAACATAAATACTGTTCTTGACATTCTTCATAGTTTTCTACTAAAAATTATTCTACTGTTGTATTTAATTTTGTATCAACCTTTATAACGTTCAATTCTGTAGTACAATCTAGTGATTTTTTCCCCTCATTCCCTCAAATTTCAAATATCAGCCTGCTATTGTTTTCCCCCCAAATTATAATCTGTTAAAAACAAAATGAGGGGGAGAGGTGCATACCACCTGAGCCTCCAACTTATTCTCACTCTCCTGACTTCCCCATCAGTGGAGATAGTTCTAGGCTCCAGGTTTCTGTGAGTGGTGGCTTTATTCTTGTCATATTAACAGGCTGAAACGGGAAATGGGTCTGACAAGTTTCTGCGCTAACAGGTGAATTTTCCATCTCCCGTTTCCAGGTGCCCAAGGCTCAGGGGGGACACACAACTGGCAAGGAGTTTCCTCAAGTATGAGCAGTAGGAGACGCTTCAGATCTGAATGACCTGAATAAATAGGACTAGGATCACAACCTAAGCCATCCTGGACAAGTGAGGACCTCACTGAGCCCCACTTTCCTCACTTACAAAAACTGGCCGCACTAATTCTTTCTACAACAAATGGAATGATTTTTATGGCAGTCTATATTTTAGTATGTAAAATACACTTCAAATATCATCAACTATAAAATGGGAATAAAATAACCCATTACTGCACTTACTGAGTCTTAATAAGACAAAATATGAGATCTACCAAGAAGAAAAATAATGCACATAAAGATCCTAGATTAGTCTATAAAATATTTAAAGATATAAAAGTACTCCATGCCACTGAAAATTACACACCTTAAAATAAAGCAGATGGTTGCAAAGAACAAAAATGTTACTATGCAACAGTGAAACAAATAATGCCAAGAATCAAAAATTTAAAATGTCAAGAGTATAATACCATGAAATAACCAATATGTTAGAAAGAGAGAAGCAAAAATTCGGTGAACAAAGAGAATCTGGAAAAGGAGATATAGAAATGTCACTGGGAAAGTACTTATTAATTCTTTACCACAGAGAGGAGGAGCCCTACTGCTTAAAGAAAGATACAAAATTCTATTATTGTAATTATATCCCATTACTCTGAGTATACCACAATTTCACGATACTTATCATGATAACTTTGTCCAGAATCGATGAAATTGGATGAGTGTTTTCTGAGTACTACTTTGACCATGTGCTCAGGGGATGCTAAGGGGACACAGGCACAAGGCAGGTCACTGACCACTAGTTACTCATTATCTAGCCAAGGCAGCAAAATATGAATCAGATCAAGCCAAAGTACAACAAGATGCAAGCAATGGAATAACAGCACAGAAGCTGATGGGCAGAGGTTGTAAAGAGTTTATACATTTGTAAAAAAAGATACTACTCAGGAGCAGAGGAATTTTCACAGGCAGGCATGATGTTTTCATTCTCTGATTCCTCAAAGACTAGGGGACATTACAAGTAATCACTCACACAGATGAGATGAAGAATGATGACCACAGTAGCCAGGCATAACTGGGTAAGAATTTCCCCATCCCTCATCTCTGGAACAGCCCCCAAATACTACAACCAATACTGGGCAAAGGAGGGATACCACAATAATGACAAGTTATAAACCTATTAAGGCTGTCCATTTTCTTGTAGTTTTCATAACAATTTAAAGAGTTGCAGAACCCAAGCAAAGATTAGAGTCACAGGAAAATATTATAACTTCTTCCCACTAGAGCAAAGGAAAAAAGCATAGAGTACTTATGTGGCAAAGAGACTGTGAAAAATTAGGCCTTAGTGACTTCAACTTGCCTGACTTGAATGATCACATTCTAGGAACCTGGGGAAACTTGCAAATAGGCTTCTGGACCATTTGGGGGCTCTCCGGAGAGTCACAGAAAACTGGAAGTAGGAAAATGCCAATTCTGTTTTTGGAAAGCAGAAAGTAGACTCTGTTCATGTTACAAACTAGAGAGCTAGACATAGATCTTAGGTGAGATTCTTAAAAAGGATTTTATCCAAGAGACGATTTGCAAGAACTAAAATGAGGCATACCAAAGAAAAGTCACATTATGCTGGTCTAATTTCTGTCTTTGGCAATGTAACCACGGAAATGCAGTGTGTCTAGACTCCAGGGAGGCATGCATCATGTTAGAAAGCACCTCCGACATTATCAGCAGCACAAAAATGGGGCTGGCACAGGCTACTGCTGACTCCCACGATCTTTAAATAGCTGAATGAAAAATATCACCCTATAGAGATTTCTAATGTAATGCCAGGGAGGTCTAATATTTACACAATCTAACCAAAACTATAGCCAGAATGTGAATAATAATACATACACATGCTCAAATTCTTCAATAAGGTTGAGAATATTAAATTTACCAGAATATAAAATTAAAATATGAATAACATTGCTAAGCTACAGTAATGAGCTGCCTCTACAAGATAAAACAATAGGAATAAATGCTGGGTCTTGTGTTTAGGTTAGCTCAGCAGGACACTGGGGGAAAGATGTCAATACTTTCGGTTCAAGAGAGAATGAGTGAGCCATGAATGAGACAAGGCTAACCACAGCCACAGTGATCTTATACTGTACTGATATTAGCATTTAAGATAATAGAAAGAAGGGGCAAATGAGCACACAACGCTCCTTTTGGCTCCTTGGGACACATCTTCTTTCAGTTATGGGTGGCATATTAGCACGAATGGACACACGAATATTCATTCAAATGAGGACAGTAAAGGGACTCAGTCATTATTCTCCGACACAGATATGGAGATAAAATGAATGATAACTCCAGTTCCTTATGAGCTCAAGCCTTGGCAAGGGACACAGGAAGAACAGTTAATAGACCAAAAAGAGAAATTCTGACCAAAAAAAAAAAAAGATAAGCAGATTAACTACAAGCCTCTGAAGCACTGCCATGGACAGACAAGGTTAGATTGTTTAGGCTATGATCCTCAGAGCTAGACCAAAAACTAATGTTTGTAACAAACTTGTATCAGAGTATATTATTATTCTCTTTATACACTGAGTCAAATTTGGCTAATGATTGTATTATTTTTAATCAAAGTTAAAGTCTGGAGCCATGAGGGCAAGCCCAGGATGGTCTTTCCTTTTGGAGCACTCAAATGTCCAAAATTTCAAAAATTGATTGGCCTCCAAAGGTGCTATATTCCGCATCATGAGAGGTTGTTAATCACAGCTCAGAAGATCTAGTAGCAGGAACGGTACAGAAGGAATCCTGCATTGGGTATGAAGCAATAGGAATTCTCAGAATTTTGAGGCTAACAGTAAGATAAGACAACATCTCTACATTCTGAATTAATCCGAATGTTACTGAGGAGTTTTCAGAACAACTGTCTATCACAACTGAAGGCCAGAGCTTGATGGGTACTGGAAATCTTAGGGCTATGTCTCTCTCTGGTTGTACCAATGAAGCTCAGAGATGAGTTTGTGACCAACTCTAACAAGTGAGTTCTCATTTTATCCCAGTTATTACTGATTAAAGTTCCTCTTTACCCAGGTCTATTTTTATCATTCGGTTGAGTTGCATTCTTTTGAGCAACTTTTTGAAAGGCTAAGTGTTGATGTGAAATTTAGTATAATTGTGTGTGTGCATACATATATCTCAATCTTATAGCAAACTATAATTGATTAACAGAAAATCTTTTTGCTCAAGACTGCAGGCCACATATATTCCAGTGTGATTACTGAATCTCAAGGCTGAGGATATAATATGGCTATTGATGTAATACAGTATATGGGCAACAACCTATGATTCAGTACCTCTAATCCCTTTTACCACAGATGATACTAATCCACAAAAATCATCTCTGAGTTAAACCTCTTTGGAATAAAAGATCAAATAGATATAAATTTTCCTCTCTTTACTTATTTCTACT